TTGTAGCATGGCCATCCCTCCTGTGAGGTGATTTTTTGCTTTCTGTTTCTGTCTTCTCTGGTGAGTACATGTGCCCTATAGTAAAAATCAGACCTCCCCTCTCTCCCCCCCAAAAAAAGCCTTTTGAAGGGCAGTTTGGCAAACTGTATCAGAAGCCTATGGTCCTTTTTGACCATTTCCAGAAACATGTCCTATAAAAATTATTTAAATATTGTCTGAAGATTTAGCTTCAGTGTGTTTATCGTCGTTTTTTTTAATTTTTGTTTTCTTGGTATGGCATTAAAAATTCAGAAATAACCTAAAGTCCAAATGATCATTGTTTTGCATAGTTGTGTGGAACTGTGATTAATCTGACTTGGACTACCCTTCCTTTAGGTAGTGTATACAACGAATGTCAAACAAGAACCAATCAGCATAGAGCACATGGAGTAATTTGTAGGTTTGTTCTTTTACCAAAAACATTTATAGCTTCTAGATTTTAAAAATAGTTCTGGAGCACAGCAAGATAGAGGGGGAAATTGGCCTAGATATTATAGAGGATGGCAGATGAACAGGGTTGATTTCATTTTGGGCACTTTGCCCAGGACACTTTTAATAGAACATATAGTTACTCTAGGGATTCTGAGTTTGTGGTTATGTCAGGCTTACACATTTATTCTTTAAAAGGAAAATTTGCAAGTTATTAGACTCTGGGTACAATGGTACAGCTTAAATTTTTTAAAGCAGTTTTTGTAATCTAGCCATTGAAGATTTGCTATGTGGGGGCTGGATTTCTTAATATTAAAGTTAACTTAATCATAGGTAGAAAATTACTTTGAAATTCTTTTCTCTAAAACACAGTGTGTTCTTTGATTCTTTCAGAGTTTAAGTCAAAACAAAATTTTTTTTCTTGAGAGATTTTTGCTATAGGACTCATGTGCTCACTGGAGAGACAGAGAGACAGAAATTGAAAAACCACACCCTGGGGGATGGTCATGCTGCTTTCTCTTCTCCCTTCTCCTCTTGAGATTTTGGCCATGCGCACACATGCATGTTTCAAGCCACCAGGTCCAGGACTCAAACTGTAGTCAGTCATGTGGGTGTCCAGTGCCTTGACCACTACACCACCTACTGGCCCCATTAAGTCAAAAAAAATTTTTTTGAGAGGTTTTTGCCGTAGGGCACATGCTCTCCCCAGAAAGACAGAGACAGACAGACAGAATGTGAGAAATCACTCCCCTGGGGGGATGGCCATGCCACAATCCCTTCTCCTCCATTCTCTTCTTGGGATCTTAGGCATGCACGCATATGCGCCCAGCATGAGTTTAAGCCACTGGGTCCAGGACCTGAACCGTGGTTGACTATGTGGAAGTCCAGTGACATAGCCATTATGCTAATTACTGGTCCCAAGTCAAATTTTAAAAGATGTCTAAACTAGGAATTGGAAGGTAATTTTATTGTGAAGAATTTTTTTTTTCTTTTCATATTTGCTATCAGGTATATGTGCTTACTAGAGAGAGGCACGGAGAACAAGGAGATAAGTGAAAAAGTACCCCCATGAAGTGTGGTCACACCTCAGTCCCTTCTCGTTTCTTCCTCCATTTGGGATTTGAGGTACACACACATGCCTGTGCACAAACAGTGTTTTCCAGGCTGCCTGTTCCGGGACTTGGATCCCACAATAGGCCTTATGAGATTCAGACACCTTAGCCACCACACCACTGGCTTGCCCAGAATTTTTAATCTTACTATTGATATTTTACAGAAATTTCTTTATATACTTAGAAATCAATCAAGTCTTTAAGAAAAATATTACATTTTTAGAAATGTTGTACTCCCTAGTTTACTACCTTACGATTTAGAATTACTGACCTTAGAATGATCTTTTAAAATTGGCAAGAAAAATACACTTAGTAATAGAATTTACATTAAAATAGTTATATCAAATACATTGGAATTTCTGTTTTTCCGTTTTCCATAGTTTCAGTGATAATTTAATTACTTCTATTGTTTATAAAATTGTTTATTCACCACTCCCCCCACCTACGTTCCCAGTTAGCTTTAAGAAGTACTGGGCATTAAACAGACTGATACTCAAAAAAATTATGTTAGGTGGAGCCAGCAGATAGCATAGTGGTTATGTCACTAGACTCCCACTTGGCCGACTGTGGTTCAAGTCCCAGACCCAGTGGGTTAAAAATCATGTCAGGTACATGTCTGTGCCTAAGATCCTGGGAGGAGAATGGAGAAGGAATTGCGGTGTGCCATCCCCCCTGGGATGGGAATTTCTCACTTTTCTTCTCACGGTATCTGTCTCTTTCTCTCTAGCAAGTGCACATGCCGTAAGCCAAAAATCTCTAAAAATGAAATTATGTTAGGGAATATGGAAGTTTGCTTTTATTTTGAAATGATGTTACGTTTTCTTTTTTGAGAGCAATTTTTGCTATAGGGTGTGTACATTTGCCAGAGAGACAGAAAGTGAGAAATTACCTTCCAGGGGAATGGCCACACCATAGTCCCTTCTCCATTCTCCTCTCGAGATTTTCGAGCACTTAAACCCAGAGTGTTTTAAGCTGCCTGGTCTGTGACTCGAACCATGGTCAACCTACGTGGGAGTCTGGCAATGTAAACATTATGCCATCTGCTGGTTCCTTGAAGTCACATTACTGAAATGTGGTAGGCCAGATTCTTACTATAGACATTTTCTTTATAATGTAGTTAATAAAATGTTAGAACAGAAAAAAATTATTTTATTGGAACCAGCAGGTGGTGTGGTTGTTGAAGTGTTGAACTCCCACATGACCAACTGCAGTTTGAGTCCTGGACCTGGCAGCTTGCTTTATCACTGCCACCCCAACCCCTGTCACCTCTGGACTCTCTCTGGTCAAATTAAAAAAATAATAATAAATTAAATAAATAATCCTTTAAAAAAGTGTCACATTGCATTTTAGAAGTTTCTCAATTCGTATTTATTGGTGGGGAGACCCCAGGACAAAAACATTTAACAGGTAAACATGCATATATACAGGGCAAATCGGTTATGGAACAGTATACCACAAGGGTGTTAAAAAAACAAAGTGGGGGGAAGTCCAGCAGGTGGCATGGTGATTAAGGCACTGGACTCCCACTTCGCCAACTGCTGTTTGAGTCCCAGACCCGGTAGCTTGAAAATCATTCTGGACACTTGTGCGTCTGTGCCCCAGATCCCGAGAAGAGAGTAGAGAAGGGACTACAACGTGGCCATCCCCCTGGCGGGTGATTTCTCTCTTTCTGTCTGTCTGTCTGTCTCTCTGGCGAGCTCACCTGCCCTATAGCAAAAACCTCTCTAAAAAAAAAAGATATACGGACCAGCAGTTGGTGTAATGACTGTCATGTTGCTGGACTCCCATGTAGCTGACCACGGTTTGAGGCCTAGATCCGATGGCTTAAACTCATGCCAGTGTATGTGTGTGTGTGCCCAAGATCCCGAGAGGAGAATGGAGGAGAAGGGATTGCGGTGTGGCCATCCCCCCTAGGGTATTTTTTTTTAACTTTCTGTCTCTCTGTCTCTCTCTGTCTTTCTGGTGAGTGCATGCGCCCTATAGCAAAAACCTCTCAAAAAAAAAAAAAAAAGTACAATGATGAAATGTAAATAAGAAAATAGAAAGTAAAATACAACAAATAATACTCACAAATTTTCTTTTTTCTTTTTTTTTTTTTTTGCTATAGGGCGCGTGCGCTCGCCAGACAGACAGAGAGAGACATAGAGACAGAAAGCGAGAAATCACCCCCCAGGGGGGATGGTCACGCCGCAATCCCTTCTCCTCCATTCTCCTCTTGGAATCTTGGGCACGCATGCACACGTGCCCGGCGTGAGTTCTAAGCCACCGGGTCCGGGACGCGAACCGCGATCGACTATGTGGGAGTCCAGCGACATAGCCATTACGCTAACTGCTGGTTCCCATACTCACGAATTTTCTTAAATATTATGCCAGTTCTATTTCATTTGCTTTTCTTTCTTTTTTTTTTTGAGATGATTTTGCTATAGGTTGCGTGCACTCGCCAGACAGAGACAGAGAGACAGAAAGGGAGAAATCACCCCCCAGGGGGGATGGCCACGCTGCAATCCCTTCTCCTCCATTCTCCTCTTGGAATCTTGGGCACGCATGCACACGTGCCCGGCGTGAGTTCTAAGCCACCGGGTCCGGGACGCGAACCGCGATCGACTATGTGGGAGTCCAGCGACATAGCCATTACGCTAACTGCTGGTCCCTTATTTGCTTTTTTAAACTCTAGTTGGTATTACTTAATAATGGGGTCTTCTCACTAGAGTGTAGTAGTTATTACTTTGATATCATGAGTCGATAAAGAAAAGAATTAAGTAACTCTGAGTTTCCACTAACTTGGAATACTCTTAGCTTTTTAACATTTAGGATGGGCATCATCCCAGTATCTCAGATGCTTCTGAGGATGTATGATCACAGTACATTTCTCAAGTGAGTGAGTAGTAACCACGAGTGTTGATGATTCTGCTTGACTGTGTTAATCCCGGCAGACCCGGTGCATTGCTACCAAACTATTGGGTCATTGGAAATGTCATGACACATTTTTGCATAGAAGAATACATCATGACTTTTCCAGCGACCTGATAAGATAGCACATAAGATATACCTTGAGAAGACCACAGCCAGAATCATGGTCATTTTCTCTTACCTTTTCTTCTTCTTTTTTTAAAAAAAAATGCTTTTTTACTTTTATAGGGTTGGGGTTTTGTTTTCCTAATGCTTATTTGTAAAGTGCAAAATGAATAGTTTTTAAAGGGATTTAGGATATTTAGATAAGTCAAAAAATAGGCATACACAAACATTTTAACTAAGCAGTTACTCTTCTCAAGTTTTCCAATGAAACTAAATTATTATTGTGATACATATATTGGCAGTGAAGAAAATCCTTCCAATATCCTGATATTATATTTGAGACTTAGCTACAATTTTCTACTCATTAGATATGCATTGTTTCTGTTTTTTGTTTTTTTTTTACAGTTCAAACGATATGTCAATAAACTTCGAAGCAAGAGTACAGTTTTCAAAAAGAAGCATCAAATAATAGCTGAATTTAAAGCTGAGTTTGGTCTTTTGCAGAGGACAGAAGAGCTTCTTAAACAACGTCATGAAAATATTCAACATCAACTGGTAATACAGTATTATCTTGGGCTGCTATAAGTGCAAATGCAGAGAGGCTTATAGGTTTCAGCTTTATACCAAGGTCATCGCTTTTACTGGAAAACCATGAAATTATTCATTTTCTCTGACCAGTTACAGAGATGTCACATAAGGTGATTCATATGTTTTTTAACATAGCAGTAAGCACTGACTTTTTTATGTGTGCTGAGTTTGGAGTTATTCATAGAAGTTGAATTCCAAGTAGGTTTTTCTTTTGGTTAGCCAGTTAATAGGAGTAAAACTATCATACCAAGAGAGTGACTATAAAATATTTATAATGGCCTTCTGGGTTGAAATTTCTAAGCGGCCACTTTCAAGGAGCTTTGGAATTTAATACCCAGGGAAGGTGCTGTGTGGAAGCTTGCTGTGGACTAATTCCCCATGTGCTTGTGCCTTTGTTGTCAAACAAGAGTTAAACGCAGTGTAGCGCGACAGCAGCACTGTTATTGTGGATAGCAGCTCCTCTGAGTTTTCTAGGTTTGGCTTTTTTTTTTTTAATTCCTTTTACCAATGGGAAAACTGTTTTATCAGGTTGCTCATTTACCAGCTGGAAGTAATCTGGTAAAGGTAAATGAAGTTTCATCTGGTTATGGTTCACTTTAGCTGACAAGATGAACTTTTCTGTCTCATGCTGATAGGATCTTAAGATTAAATATTGTTGGTAATAATATTCTATAATTGTCACTTTGGGGGCTAGCAGATAGCATAATGGTTATGTAGCTCCCACGTAGTTGACTGTGGTTAAAGTCCCAGACCTGGCAGTTTAAAACTCACTCCAGGCATATATGTGCCCAAAATCCCAAGAGGAGAAGGGATTGTGGCATGGTCATTCCCCCTGGGGGGTGATTTCTTGCTTTCGGTCTCTCTCTGTCTCTCTGGTGAGTATATGTGCCCTGTAGCAAAAATCTCTCTTTAATTTTTTTAAAGAATTATTTTATTCAACTTTATTTATTTTGTGTATGTATATATTTTAATGTGACCAGAGAGGGACAAAGAGAGAGAGAGAGAAGAAGCCGCCAGGTCCAGAACTCGAACCCCTGGGGGAGTGATATTTTGCTTTCTGTCTCTTTCTCTCCAGCAAGCACACGTGCCCTATAGCAAAAATTTCTCTCTCACAAAAAAAAAAATTTTCTTTCCATCTTCACTTTGAAGCACATTTTAACTGAATATAGAATATTTGTTTGGCAGCTATTTTTTTCATCACTTTTTATTTTTGAAGAGGTTTTTGCTATAGGGCGCATGCACTTGCCAGACAGAGACAGAGAGACAGAAAGTGAGAAATAACCCCCCAGGGGGGATGGCCACACCGCAGTCCCTTCTCCTCTATTCTCCTCTTGGAATCTTAGGCATGCACGCACACACGCCCAGCATGAGTTTTAAGCCACCAGGTGTGGGATTCAAACCGCGGTCAGCTACATGGGAGTCTGGTGACATAGCCATTATGCTAACTACTAGTCCCTTTTTTTCATCACTTTGAAGATTTAATTCCATTGTCAACTGTCATCCATTGTTTTTGTTGTAAAGTCAGCCATATATCTTTTTTTTTTTTTTTTTTTAAGGAGAAGTGATACTCTCTGGTTATTGTTAAGATTTTTCTCTATATATTTGGTATTTCAATATTTCAGTGGTTTTTCAATATTCCTAGATGTGGTTCATTTATCCAGTCTGGAGTCTTCTTGAGCATTTGACTTGATGTCTTCATCAGTATTTCAAAAGTTTTCAATCAATATTTCTTTAATTTCTTCAATTACTACTACTTTCTCATTCTCTCCTCTCTTACAAAAAGTAGTTATATGTATGTTAAATGTTTCCACCATTTTCCGTATGTCTCTTGTGGGTTTGTGTTTCTCTACTCTGAACCCTCTAGCAGCCTCCTATCTTATTTAAAATAAGTCAAAGCTTATTCATTGTACTAAAAATAAGGTAATAACCTCATTTATCATCTAAGCTAGGACACTTTGAAAGCATAGGGACTGATAGGTGTGAACTGAGACAGTCTCGGCAAGCCAGCTGAGCCCTCTCCGCTCCTTTTCTCTCCCCCGCCTCATCCGCATGGCACTTTCAGTCTCCCTGGTCTCCTTGCTCTTTCTTGAACAGGCCAGGTGTGCTCCTGCCTTTTGGCCTATGCACTTGTCGGTCCCCTGGGCATCTGTGCCTCGCTCCTTCACTTCCTTCAGGGCTTGCAGTTGTCATTTCAGGAGGACCTTCTCTAGCTACCTGTGACTTAAAATGTCAACTCCATTTTCACTTCGCACTGCATGTATTTTACTTAGTTATTTCCATACTGCTTATGTACTCTCACTAAAAGTAAGCTCTGTAAGAGAAGGGCTTTTTTTTTTTTTCATTTTGTTCATTACTGTATACCTGGTACCTAGAAATGTCCTTGGCACATTTAGGTATAAAATAAATACTAGACGAGTAAAAAATAAATAACAGCTTACTACTTGATTCTTTTATTCACCAAATATTTATTGAGTGCATCCTGTTTTAGGTTCTTTGCTAATTAAATAACATTAAAATTAGAAATACTTGTTTTGCACATAGTAAAATTTAGTGTAGGTTTATAACAAAGGGGTGTAATTGAATGAAATAATTGAAGTCAATGACGATTCCTTTGGGATTCTAAACTAATTTATTTTATGTAGAACTCTTTGTTTTGTTTTAGTTTTGTTGGCTTTTTTTTTTTTTTTGCTATAGGGCACACGTACTGGGGGGGGAGGGAAAGTGAGAAAACACCCTCTGGGGGAATGGTCACTCTGCAGTCTTTTTTTCTCCATTCTCCTCTCATGATTTTGGGCATACACACACACACACATACACACACACACACACACACACACACACACCTGCTGTGTTCCTCAAGTCAATGGGTCCAGGACTCAAACCAGTGACCATGTGGGATCCAGCCACCCTCATCACCATGCCACCTCCTGTCCCTATGTTCAACTTTTTTGTTATGTCTGAAATCTGTATACTTCTTACAGGAGCCATCAAGATTTTGATACTCATTTTGTGACTTTTATTCTTTACTTATAGCAAGCTATTGAGGAGAAAAAGGGTATATCTGGATATAGTTATACTCAAGAAGAGCTAGAGAGAGTATCTGCACTGAAGAGTGAAGTTGATGAAATGAAAGGACGAACACTGGATGACATGTCTGAAATGGTGATTATACTTTTTTTTTTTTTAAGTTTCTTTTGTTGAGTAGCTAGAAGGCAGGTGTTTTTGTCTTTTATTTTGAGTGGAACATTCAAATTTTCATTTCTGCTGCATATTATTTATAATTCTTCATCTGTCCTTATTGATTGCTGTTGATTTTTTCCATCCTGGTAAGGTTGTTCAATTTCTAATAGTTTATATACATTTTGTGGTTTTAAAAATGCATGAAAGTGGGACCAGCAGGTGGCATGGTGGTTAAGGTGCTGGACACTCCCACATGGCCAACCATGGTTCGAGTCCTGTACCTGGTGACTTGCTTTCTCACTTACCCTCTCTCTCTCTCTTTCGGTGTCTCTCTCTGGTCCAATTAAGACAAATGAATGAATAAAGAAAATTAAATAATTCTTTAAAAAATGCATGAAAGTTGTATAACATTAATGAAATACTTAAGATAAGCTGTAAGTTCTCCCAACTCATACCATCCTGCTATTAAAATCATTTCACTTTTGCGTATCTCTTTAGTGTCTTTCCATATTCATGGCTGCAGTTCAACCAGAATGCACTAGTATGTTCGCACTGAGCATTAAAGTGTTGAAATCTTTCTTAATTTCTTTGGGGTAATTAGCTTCTGCCCCAGACTCTCAGCTACCTTGTGGACTGGCCATTTCTGTAGAACTCTCTGGATCTCTCCACAGTCTAAGTCCTGAAAAGATTAGCATTTAGCATATAAGAGAATTCCCAGACCCTGATCATCTCTATGACTGGTGTTTATTCTGAATGATCATTACTTATGCCATTCAGATTATTAAATATTTGGAATATCACTTCATCCATATTTATGTATATCTTATATAACCTATATAATTATATATTTGTGTATAACACAACATAATTGAAGTTGTACAGGAAACTTTGTAATTTATTTATTCATTAAATGTTAGATTAAAATTACTTTCCTGGAGCCAGTAGGTGGCATAATGCCTAAAGCTCTGGACTCCATGTGGCTGACTACAGTTCAAGTACTGGACCTGGCAACTTGAAAATCACACTGGGCAGGTGGACATGTGTGCCCTAAATCCCAAGAGGAGAATGAAGGAGAGAGAACTGTGGCTTAGCTGTCTCCCTGTGGAGTGATTTCTCACTTTCCCTCTCACTATCTCTCTCTCAGGCAAGCACACATGCTCTATGGCAAAAACAAACAAAAACCTTTTTTAAAATATTTTTTCCCGGGAGCCAGCAGTTAGCGTAATGGCTGTATCGCTGGACTCCCACTTAGTCGACCGCGGTTCGTGTCCCGGACCCGGTGGCTTAAAACTCACGCCGGGCGCGTGTGCGTGCGTGCCCAAGATCCCAAGAGGAGAATGGAGGAGAAGGGACTGCGGTGTGACCATCCCCACTGGGGATCACAGATGAAGCCCTCGTTGGGGGCATTTCTCTCTGCCCCTTCTCGTGGAAGAAATAACCTTTTCATTTTTTTAGAGTTAAGTATTTAATTTTATTTATTATTATTATTATTTTTAATTTGAACAGAGAGAGATAAAGAAAGAAAAAGGGAAAGTGAGAAAGCAAGCCGCCCAGTCTGGGACTCGAACTGCCGTCAGCCATGCAGGAGTCCAGCACTCTTTTTTTTTTTTTTTTTTGAGAGGTTTTTGCTATAGGGCATGTGCACTCGCCAGACAGACAGAGACAGAGAGATAGAAAGTGAGAAATCACCCCCCATGGGGGATGGCCACGCCGCAATCCCTTCTCCTCCGTTCTCCTCTCGGGATCTTGGGCACGCACGCACACGCGCCCGGCGTGAGTTTTAAGCCACCGAGTCCGGGACGCAAACCGTGGTCGACTACATGGGAGTCCAGTGACATAGCCATTACGCTAACTGCTGGTCCCGAGTCCAGCACTCTTAAACACCATGCCAGCGCCAGCCCCAGCCTCATGGGAGTCCAGCACCCTTAACCACTGCACCACCCGGAAGCCCTCATTTTTGGTATTTTTAATGGCTTTGAAATTTTCCAGACCATTTCAAATGGTTAAATGGTGTTCCATCTTGTTAAGGAATCAGGATTTACTAAATCAGGACCAGCAGTTGGCGTAATGACTATGTCTCTGGACTGCCACGTAGTCTACTGCAGTTTGAGTCCTGAACCTGGTGGCTTAAACCTATGCCAGGCGCGTGTGCAAGCGTTCCCAAGATCCCAAGAAGAGAATGGAGGAGAAGGGATAGTGGCGTGGCCTTCCCCCCTGGGGAGTGATTTCCCGCTTTCTGTCTCTCTGTCTCTCTCTGTCTTTCTGGTGAGCACACATGTCCTATAGCAAAAACCTCTCAAAAACATAAAACAAACAAACAAAAAAGATTTACTAAACATTTTCCCATTCTTTGGCACTGAATTGATATACAAGTTCTTTTTTAAAGAAATATTTATTAAATTTTGTTTATTATTATTATTTTTTAATTTGACCAGAGAGAGACATGGAGAGAGAGAGAAAGTGAGAAAGCAAGCCACCAGGTCCAGGATTCAAACCATGGTTAGCCATGTGAGAGTCTGGCACCTCATGCACCATGCCACCTGTTGGTCCCTGATTTATAGTTGTTGTTTTTAACTTTTATGTCTAACACTGCATTAAATACTTTACGCACGTAATATTTTTCTTCTCTTGAATTCTTTTGTAGATTACATATTTTTTGTTTAAATGACAGGTGAAAAAACTGAATTCACTGGTATCTGAAAAAAAGTCAGCTCTAGCCCCAGTTATAAAAGAACTACGACAATTGCGTCAGAAATGTCAAGTAAGTGAATTTGATTTTTGATCTTTTTGATTTGGTGTTTTATCTGTTAAGATGTAGTAGTTAGGATCCTGAATATTTTACTTGGGTGATTTTAATTATTATTATTATTATTATTATTATTGATACAGATTTAAACAAGAGAGTAATAATGTAACTTAAAAAGGATTTTATCAGGGCCAGCAGGTGGCATTGCGGTTATGTTGCTAGACTCCCATATGACTGATCATGGCTTGGGTCCAATCATGCTTTGGGTTCTGAATCCTGTGGCTTGAAACTCAGGGGCATGTGCATGCGCATGCATGCCCTAAGTCCCTATAGAAGAATGGAGAAGGGATTGTGGCGTGGCCATCCCCCTCAGGGGGTGATTTCTCACTTTCCCTCTCACTGTCTAAGTCTCTGTCTCTCTCTCCAGTGAGCACACCCATCCTAAGGCAAAACCTCTACAAAAAAAGGGGGGGGGAAGGTTTATCTAATTTATGCTTCTTATTTTGTCATAAATTATTGAAGAAGGGGAGGAAGA